TTATAGGCCGATGATATGTGATGTGATTATTTCTTCCAACCTTTTACTATTTTTTAAGATCGTCTTAAGTTTAGAAACTTGTAACTAATCATAGTAGTTGAATGATCGGTTACTGTAAACTGCTCAATGCAAAACGAGTGTGGATTCGGTTTCGCTCAATAATTTACACCTGTAAATTTACACCATGTGTAAATATGTAAGTAACCTTTCACCTTCCTATGATTTCTGGACATAGGTATTTTTTAAATGTCATTTGCCAAAATATTTGTTTTTAATTTAGTAAAACTTTTTCACTTCATCATCATCATCATCAACAGGAATATAAAACTGTTTTAAGTATCATTTACTGAAATATCTAGTTTCAAACTAGTAAAACATTAAAAGTAGGGATCAACTTTATAGTGCACCAAATACCTCAACTCGACCTTAAGATCTTGTCCTTACCACCAAACCACGTTTGAAAGAACCATAGAACCAGAGACAGTCACCTTATTACATAGAACCCTAAGTATTGACAAATTAACTTAACTTAAGATTTTGCCCTTACGCTCAAGCCATGTTTGCATGAACAAAGGAACCAGCGAGGAAGTCAGTTTCCTTGTGTCATAAAATCCTGTATACAGTGTCAGTCAAGTAAATATATTGTCAAAAATGGTTAGTAACTGTAAAATAACGAATTAGGATCTTTTGATCGATTCTGCTAATCTACTGATTTGCCTATTCCGTCTTGTATTTTTTCAGAAGAAGAAACTAACTAAAAGAGTTATCAAAACACTGAATATCCTCTGCGTTCCAGATAACTGAACAACTGTGTGAGATCCCGCAATCAAATAAATGTGTACTATAGAATAAGTCTTATAGAGTGGAAACCACGACCACGTATGAGAAGTATCGGTAAGAAGAGGTGAACATCGAGCTCAGTGGCGTGCGATTGGAGAGGCCTAAATCCAGCAATGGACGGAATCGGGCTGTCGATGATCTATAGATACTAATATTATAAACAGGTAAAATTTGTAAGTTTGTATGTTTGTATGTTTGTAAGTTTGTATGTTTGTAAGTTTGTATGTTTGTAAGTTTGTATGTAGGGGGTAATCTTTGAAACCGTCGGATTGCCAAAATTCTTTCACTGCTATAGGTAGCTACAATGTTCTTGTGTGCTATAGGCTACAGCATCACGCTACGATTAAATCCACGCGAGAGTGACAGTTTATGATAAGTAAACAATATTATAAAATACATTTGATATCAGAAAATGCCAGTAAATACAAGGGCGGGGCTAGTGAATTTTAATCTCCCCCGCAATCGTAACGCTATAAAAATCTTACCTTAGAAACATGATTGAAAATGGATAAGATTTTAATCAGTTCACAGTAGATAAGTTATCATATGAACCATCCGTCTTGTCGTGGCTAGTCACCAGTATACGTAAGAAAAAAAATTAAGGAAAATGTACATTTTCTACAGCAATTCACGAAATGTAGTGTTTGTAGCATTTGAAACGAAAGTACCTATAAAGAAAGGTAGTTTATATGAACCTAATAAACTTTATACATAGCTTCACTTAAAGGACTGACAGACTGACACTTTATATCTTTAAAATTTGTTTGACTGAAATATTTTTTTTTCTTGACATACCAAATAAACATTGCATATAGTTATTCATTCCCTTTGGCGGTGACAATGAGGCAATGAGAGCTACTTCTGGTGGAAATTGGTTAACTCAATAGGCAGGTATAATATAGGCACAGGCCTAAAATCATACCTTCGCAAGGGCCTGTTCCATCATCTTCATGTAAGTAGGTAACCAACAAATTTTGTGAGGCAAATAGTTCATAAAAAGAACGTTCTATATATTCAAAATGTCAGTTACATTTAAAATATAGAATGCTTTTTTGTGGCTCCATTGTGAAACAAATCTTGAATAAACTTTTTTTAGTTTTTACTTATATACTTTAAGAAAATCATTAGCTGAAAATTTGAATGGAAAAGAAGAAAATGGCCTAAGGAAAGATGGATAGGTTGTGTGGACCAATTTCAAGAAGGAACTTTAAAATTTTATTGTTTAACTACAATTAACGGAGAAAGCGATACTAGTTTCAAGACACAGCGAGTGGCTTAATCATTTGCAGCGTGTGCAAAGTGTCATAAGTTTCTAAATATTATGTTAGAATAACGTTTGATAGGGAGAATGAATTGCCATTTAAGCTAATTTTGATTATGATTAGTAGTTCCAAACAATTTCACATGCACACACACCCAGACCCGTAACAACAATTTGTGGATTACACAAAGAGTTGTTCCGTGCGGGAATCGGACGTTGCGCGGCAGCCAGTTGCCAAGTCATCGCGCCAAACGTTCAGTCAAGTCAGATTACACTATGGGCGTACAAGTATGTGTGTGAGCATGTGTGAGTGTGCTTGGTAATACTTAAGACATTTTTCTATTAGTGAGAAGGACAAACAAAATTATTCTTTTAAATTACTCTTTATTTTACTTTGAAACAGCACGTGCATAATGTATGTCACAAGAAAATAATAAACATTTGTGAGAACAAAATGATAATGCAGTCATTGAATCTTTATTGTTTAGACAAATGCTTCTTTAAAAAAAATACACGTGATCGACTGGTACACTTGTACGAGTTGATGCCTATGTATACATATTATATGCCTATTCTATCCTACTAATATTATAAACTAGCTCTTACCCGCGGGCGTCGCTCCCGTCACTTGACTACCTACCTACTCTACCTACCGTACTCTACCTACCCTACTCTACCTACCGAACTCTACCTACCCTACTCTACCTACCGAACTCTATCTATCCTACTCTACCTACCCTACTATGCCTACCCTACTCTACCTACCGAACTCTACCTACCCTACTCTACCTACCCTACTCTACCTACCCTACTCTACCTACCCTACTCTACCTACCCTACTTTACCTAACCTACACTACCTACTCTATCCTATCCTATGTCTTTTTCCCAGTTCTTAGCTACCTCCCTACGAATTTTCAGCTAAATCGGTTCAGCCGTTCTTGAGTTCTGGAGTAACAAACACGACTTTCTTTTATAAAGATGAGAAATTTTATGAGAATCTATGTTTGTTTTTCTTTCACGGCTGGACCGATTGGGTTGAAAGGACATTGCTCTGCGTTCCTTCAGTGTTGGCCCTGGAGCCAAGAGCATCAAAAATATATGTATTGTAGTCTCTATCATTAGTAAACTTGTATACGATCTTATTTTTATAGCGGACTAGCTACATGCATGGTAAGTAATCAGCGCTGTCCATGGACACCCGCAACGGAGGAGTAACGAGTGCATTGCCGACCTTTTAGGGATTAGGGTTTTGGAGATTTAGGGATTGGGAGGGATCGAGGGAGGGGAAGGATTGGGCCTCCGGTAACCTCACTTACACGGCGAAACACAACGCTGTGCTTGTTTCACGTCGGTATTCTGTGGTATCACTCCGGTCGACCCGACCTATTCGTGCCGAAGCTTGGCTCTCCCACACTTAAATACTAAACTTAAACTTATATAATAAATTAGACCATTTATCGTGTATTCAGATACTCTTTGTGACGTAACCTGGATTAACAGATATACTGATTTTTATAAATCTACGTCGCGGGCGCAAGCTACTACTTCTTAAATGACCTATATTTTAACGTACATAAGCATTGATCTGCTTTATTTTCAGAAGATTAGTATAAAAATTAAGTATGGAATAGCTCGAGCGGCGTGATACAACTACAGTGTTGTGTTTCACCATGTGAGTGTGGTTAACGGAGGCTCGAACCATATAACTTCCTGTCCCTCCCCAATCCCTAATCTCCGAAATGCTAACTAATCCCAAAACACTCCTGTGGTGTTATCAGTGTCAACATACAAGGGGTACAATCTCCACACCTGGTAAACTCATTAGAGATCGGAATTTAGTTTCAGGTTTAGCAAGGACTATTACTGACAGACCCGTTACCTACTAACTCTTGAAAATCTGTAAATTTGACATCACCGCGGGTGGAGTCGAGAGAGGCCGCTAGTATATACATGTAATTATTTTTGTAGGACTTCATTTAGTGAAATTGATCACCTTTTTTGTTAGGGGAAAATCATCAAATGACACTCTCGCTCGACTTAAGGCGAGAGAGAGTGTCAGACTCTTACTGACTAAACCCCCCCCCTTCCCCCTCGCTCCGCCAGTTCCTTCTCCTATTTCAGGCCGAGGCAGGCCGCGGTGCCACATTGCGCTTACAACGCAACCCCGGCTGAACAGCCCTCTGTTGCCCTGACTGTGGTGGTCTATTAATTGGCTCTTTGAGACACGCGCAGAACGTTAAGCGCCGCACGCTCGAGTATGGTTCTGGTCGGCGGTGAGCTACCCTTACTCTCCGTCCGCAGACCCGTATTTACGGTGACCGGAAATCATCTCTTGATCCCGACCGCCCGCCCGGAGTGTCATGTTACCCACTAAGGCGGCTGGGGCGTGAGGAAGAGGAGAGCTCTCTCACACGGTCCGCCTCATTCTTTGCGAGCATTACTGCTTCACAGAAAGAGGAAACGGCTTCCCAGTTCCTCTCGCTTCGTACCATAGCCTCGACTAAGGCCGGGCGCTTAAGATGTGGCCGCCACCAATCACTTCTCTGAGGACACGGCGGTGCTCAGCCCAGGCAAGGCGCACCACCACCGCATCCTCAGGGTGGTCCTCACAATGACGACACTCGGGCAAATTAAAAACCTTTGGCGACTTACATGAAGATGGTACTTCCATTTGTATGTTATTTAAAACCTCTAGTTTCAATCAAAACAGTATTTTATACCAAGACAAGACTAAAAAATAATGATACATTCTATGCAACTCAAATTTACTAATAATCTACTAATTAATTATCAAAAATACGCCAAATCACAACTATGTAGATACCGTTAGATAAATCGTTATCAGAAACCGATTACATATCCATATTGTACTGATAAAATATTTAATATTGATCCAACATCAGTAAAGTAGATGCAGTAGTGTAATAATGTTGTTTTACTCAATTTTAATAATAACTCTATCTAGTGGATATGTAGTTGGTAAGTTGTTGTTATTTATATTATACGTTAAATAATCTATACGGCAAAACAACGTTCGCCGGGTCAGCTAATAATACTACATATATCATTATAATTGTCCTAGGTCAGTTTGGGAATTTTAAACAAGATTACGGATATGTGACTGTCAGGGAAGGTGCTCACATGTTCTACTGGTTGTTCTACACCACAGCCGATGTCCAAAACTACGTAGAGAGACCCCTCATAGTCTGGCTCCAAGGCGGACCCGGGGGATCTTCCACAGGAATTGGAAATTTTGAAATCTTAGGACCGTTAGACTTGTCCTTACAAGAAAGGAACTACACATGGGTAAATTTTTTGCACATACTTTGCATATACTAACACTTTTGGTACATGTGTCAATAATACAAAACAAATACAAGTAATAAAGATAAAAAAAAAATAACGATTGTAATCTAAATCTCTAAGGAGCAGGACATAGAAACTCACACTTTTCAATTGTAAACTGCCCTAATACTAATACTTACGAAAATTTAGTTGCCAACGATGTATCAACACTTAATGGTTGTTTAAGCATAATGAAGTAAAAGTAAGCCAATTGACACATTTCAGGTGAAAAATTTCAACGTTCTGTTCATCGACAATCCTGTGGGCACAGGATTCAGCTACGTCGACGATTTAAAGTTTTTGACAGTTACCAACGAAGAAATAGGCAAGTTCTTAGTAACATTTTCAATTAAGTTTACGACTGCTGATATAAACTGTTGAAGGCAAATCCTCCGCTAGCGTCGGTCAAACCGCGTTGGCACTGAATGCGTTTAACTTGTCCTGGTAATTCAGTTGTTATACAACTTAAATTATTCCTGCAGCTCGTGACTTTGTCCAGCTGATGCGCGGATTCTACAATAAGAATCCTGAGTTCCAAGGCGTACCCTTATACATTTACGGCCAATCGTATGGAGGGAAAATGGCGATCGACATGGGCATAGCCATGAACGAGGTAAGCTCAACTAAATGAAGACTCCACTTAAGTCCAAGGCGCCAGCTCAGTGGTGTCCTTTGGTAACACACAGAATCAGGCTGGTAGTGATAATGACTTTACTTTCGAATACAACTAAATCAAGTCTGTAATACAAGAAAATTATTTTAGTACTTGAGTGACTCAAGTAATATACCTAATCAGTCCCATAATAACTCTTCTTTCTATAGGCAGAAAAAGCCGGAACGATTGGCTCAAACTTAAAAGGCATTGCAATGGGCAATGCTTGGATATCCCCAGTTGATGCTACGCTTACATGGGGCCCACTGCTCTTAGCAGCAGGTCTGGTGGACGAGTCAGGGTATAATGATATTCAACGAAACGCCAGAGAGGCTGAACGTCTCTTCAACGAAGGTCGCTACTTTGAATCGACACTGCAGTGGTCGGCTACACAGTCTGCAGTGTTTCGTGCAACAGGCAATGTTGATTTTTACAATATTTTGACAAAAATGCCACGACGTTGGGGGTCTATAGCTAGCAGTGACTATGGTAAGGAAAATATTAAGGTACTAGATGCTTTGGAGCTTAGTTTAACGACAAATGATAATGATCTTGAAAAGCAAACTTATGTGTTTCTTTCAGAATTTTCGAGAGATATGATGATACGAAATTCACTTTACAAGCGTACACCAACAAGAGAAGGAGAATATGACCTTGACACTTTGATGAACGATCTCGTCAAACCTGCTTTGCAAATTCCTGAGCACGTAAAGTGGAGCGGGTTATCTACCAATGTCTTCGACACTTTAAGGGTAGACTTCATGAAACCTGTTACTGACGGCAGTTAGTACAAATTGTCTTTATATTCATTAGTGAAGTTACTTTTATGCTACTAAAAATAATGATCAAAATGAAAACACATCGAATCATTTAATTTTATTTAAAACTTTTAATAAAATTTCAGTTGAGAAGTTGCTGAACGAAACCGATATTATTGTGACGAAATACAATGGGAATCTTGATTTAATTTGTGATACACCAGGTAATATTCTTGCTTGAAACTAAGTTCCTTTGAGAATGTGATAAAATAATTATTTTACTAATTGTTGAGAGCAACAAATAAGTATCGACATTGTTTTAGGGCAAATTCTCTGGGTGGATCGCTTGAAATGGCCCGGCGCTGAGCAGTACAAGCGAGCGAAACGTATGCCAATTTGGGAAGACAATAAATTGGAGGGCTACTACAAGAGTTACGGCAACTTTAGATTCTTCTGGATAAACTATGCTGGCCACAGCGTAAGTAAAGTCATTAGGTTTTCTGTAAGAATACCTATACTTTACTCATTCTCATAAAAACTTCTTCTTTTACAGGTACCAAGAGACAATCCTCAAGGCAGTAACGCGTTTTTGCGTGATATGACAGGTTTTGGCTAATATTTAGATACTTTATGGAATATGCGTAACTATAGTGTCAGCAATGCAAAGCCCAGTTGTCCCATCGCAAAATTGGGATTTAGTTTAAGTGAATGTACTTTTGTTAATACAATAAAACCCAATGTTTTCTAACTTATAATATTTTATTTTCCTGAGAATTGTAGGTTAATTAGAATATACCTCTGTATAAAATAGTTTTATATAAGTCATTATTGTTCATATTGGATTAGTCGGCAAACGAGCAAACGGATTACCTGATGGTAAGCAATCGGCGCCGCCCATGGTCATCCCAAACACGAAAACATCAGAGGAGTTACGAGTGCTTAGCCGGTAAGTAGGTATTGAATTATGAGACATTATATCGATGTATAGAAAACCCTAACTATAGATGATTAGTGAATTTCGAGTTATTCATTTTATATGCTTACCTATATCATATTACCAATTTGTAGCTACTCCGATTTTTATTCGACACAATTTATTTTTTAGAAGGCATTTTTTGGCAATGGCAATTGAAAAATAAGTTCTTTTCTTTAAAAAAATAATGAAAACTACTTTTAGAAACAAAATATTTATCTTCATCATTGTATTTTTATACATAGAATTATTATATTTAGATAGATTTGACAAAAAATATAATCGTGTTTAAAATATACAGGGTAACATTTTGAAGGAGGGTCTTATTCAAGGAGCCAATTTTAGTGCTCAATTACAACAACTTTTTGCATGGGACCAATATTAAAATCTCAAAAAAAAATCCCTATAGAAATCGAAGCAGCTGATTGCATGAGGAACTAAAATTTCTTTTGATATTTCCAGAAAATTTATATTGATCTCATGGAAAAAGTTGTTTTATTTGAGCAACAGAATCGGGTCCTTAAACATGTCTCTCATTCAAAATGCCATCCTTTATACGGCCAAATCGTATTCTACGATGTCCTCCTGATAACCTTTGGAGGGACACAAACTATCAGCTCTACTAAGATCAAAATAAAGGTGACTATGTAGTAGTATTGTGGATCTCAGCGACGAAACGGACAAATTGGTAATTTCATTGCAGTTGTTTCGTTTATCATTCGTTCTTTTAATGTAATATTGTAATCCAATTTCAAAAAATGTGCCACTCCTTCCATTTTCGTATATCTACATATTTTCTTCAAAACAGATTACCTTATCTCTCTTATCAAAAATTGCACTTTGTTAATAGAGTCACGTTTATAATTACGTTCCTATTTATCATACCTGTTTTCAAGATTCCCCTAATCTTGATATCAGGATATCAATCGAAATACCTAGGTAACAAAAATGACTTAGATATGCTGATTAATTTGATGAATAGTTTCATATCCGAATAAGACCTACATAGATCCAGAATGAATAGTCAAATGGAATCCTTTTTTGGTGGGATATAAACCATCAAATGACTTCTCTCGGCAGATTCTAACTACCAACCCCCAAACAAGAGTTGTAGGCCGAGGGAGGTTGCGGAACCCTTGACCTGCAATCCCGGCTAACGTCGGTCCTAGTGGGCCTCATATGTATTAGGTAGTTTGCACTTTGAAGCACGCGCAGCAACCTTCGCTCGCTGCCCGACCGTGACCGACAGACCACGCTTACAGTGGCCTATCACCTACTATGGCGACTGATACATCTGCTTGAGGAAGATAGTTCCGTAACGCGCTCCGCCTCCTCCTTTGAAAAATACAATCCTGTGTGAACAAATAGGTAGGTAGTGTAAAACTCAAGTCAAACGTGTCTTACTACTTACTAATACGAAAAATATCAAATAGCTGATAATATCCATTCAATGATAAGGTGATAAAAACAATCAATATTAAAAACGGTTTACGCAAATCGCTTACATATCTACACACTGTCTTAATTATATTGTAGAAATTTGGGCAACAAGATACAAAAGTACAATCTAAATTACTAATGATGCAAGATTACTAATCAAATGTACTTGATTATTGATACAAAATATTTAAGGTAGTGATAGAAGCATTATAAGTAAGGTTAGTGTCGTGTAGACATGTTTTTATGATACATAACAAAAATGGCATCGAAAAATGTGAAAGTGGTCGGTGGTGTGCTCGTAGGGGCTGTTGTTTTAGCTGGATTAGGAGTATTGATTTGGTTTTTAGTAGGCAACAATACGAGTAATGTAAATGAAGAAAAAAGGTACACTACTCAAAGTAAGTATTTTATTTACATTATTATTTACAATACAATATAATATTTTATTTACAATACATTTTTTAACGATTCTTCATCTGCTCTAACTTTCCTCCAACCTAGGAGAAGTTATAATGTCGTTTTGTGAAAGGAAAATCAGCGTATGTCTTCTATAGTCCAGGGTTGAGGCAAAGAAGAAAGTCTTACTGACTAAAAACTACCTCGTTCCTTTTCCTGCTCCAGACCAATGCCGCGGTACCTAATGAGCCTCAGGCTTGGCTGAACATCGACCCCCGCTGTGATGGTTTTATGGCACTTTAAGGATGCTATGCTCCTTACACTTGAAAACTGATCGGGCGGCGAGCTACCATTGCTCGTTATCCGCAAACACGCGATTACGGTGGCCAGAGATCGTTGCTCAATCGCCGACGCCCGGAGAACGATCATGACCTACAGATTTCATTTCGATTTTAGTATTATTTTGTCTAACTTTAGCTTGTCCAATTTAACTCTCACAAACGCTGTCATATGGTATGCAGATCATGCTAAGTACCTCTTTATTTATTACTAACTGTGTTTGAGACACATGTGCGTTTTTATGGAAATACACTTATAAGGATATGGACCCAAAACAAATGGAATCCGCAACACGATAAAGACTTAAAAGAGATTAAAAAACCCAAAGATATTTCACAATCGTATTTGTGATCAGTAACTTATTTTATCAACCTTTTTTACACTAAAAGAGAGATAACAAGCCGTGAAGTAAAGCACACTTTAGACCTTTACTAATACACCCGTATGTTGATTGGCAAAAATTAGAGAATTATTGTCGTTAAAATAATTGCTAATGATGATTACTGCCTTCCGTATTATGACTGTTCGATGAAGATGTCAGAATTACTTAATTATCCGAATTACATTGTTATTTCGGTAGCGAATGCTTTTAGATTTTTACACCACTTCTTTTTTTTGTGATAGGCCGGCAAACAAGCCTGATGGTAAGCAATCAGCGCCGCCCATGGACACCTGCAAGAACAGAGGAGTTATGAGTGCGTTGCCGATCTTTTGGGGATTAGGGATTTGGAGATTTAGGGATTCGGGGAAAGGAAGGATGGGGCCTCCGGTAACCTCACTCACAGTGGCCGTGGCCGTGGTATCACTCCGGTCGGGCCCACAAAAGCATGACTCTCCCACACTTCGCTTGCCATAAGCCGCATATTGTAGGGACTGTTTTTGAGGAAAGCCTGAACAGATGCCACTTCATTCTCGCCTATCGTCTAAAGCTCGTCACGTACGTAAGACCTGTCACGCATTCGGTGGAAGGTATCACCTGCCTCTACGACGAACATCCGCAGAACACGGATAGAGGATTTGGTGGCCCTTCTTGGGTTGAGCACCGCCGTTTCGTTAAGGAAGCGTTGGCCGGAGATCATCTCTCGAGGTTTAAGAATACCTTCATGGGGGTATAAAGACAGAGAAAGCGACTCTATTTTATACTATGTAGTGATTAAAAACGGTTTTGTCTATACTATTTACATATTATGTACATTAATTTTTACAACTTCATGAACTACAAGCTGAAAACAATTAAATTTTGCTTGTTTAATTAAATCTCTAATTAAGTAATCTATTAACTATTTTAATTTTTCAGCATTGAAACCCGGTACACCACTCGATATGACTGTTCCCGTTATTACCGAGATATCCGGCGTCGGAAACATGTTCTGGTGGTTCTTCCATACCAGAGCACTAGGATACACTCATGATCACCCTGTTATATTGTGGTTGGACGGTGTAACTGGCGTACCACCCAGCTTATTGGCAAATTTTGGAATGTTTGGCGAATACGATATCAATTTAAAGCGTAGATCAGACTCCTGGGTAACGTATTTTTTACCGATTTTATTTATTTATACTTTAGTGCACATATGATAGACAATATACATATATAAAGCAGACTTTTAAACCTAGGAGGATAATATAATCTTAGATACACTCCACTCTTACACAGTTAAATATTAGGTAAATTTGGCAAAAAAAGTATGCTTTTATTCCGTAACTATAATGTTTCTCTCGTTTATATTCTTATTATTTACAATCGTAAACTGCAACTAAATTAAACCGAAGTAAGTGTGTATTGTTGAATTTTACCTTCTTTATGAGTCTCAAGGACTCTTTCTTCAGAATGTAATGGGTTTTGAACTACTCCATAACCCTTAGAATAATTAAACTTAGAGTCCATAACATCAAGGGAAGTTTACATGGTTGATATATTTACAGATACGTCGATACAATTTACTTTTCATTGATGCACCTTTGGGCACAGGATTCAGTACTCCTCTAAGTGTTGATAAAATACCAAAAAATATTGATGAAGCTGGTAAGTTTTTACACTACAAACACAGTGCCTTTGTTTATTTATAATCCAGATTATATTAATTATTATGAAAGGCATAAAATCACCAGGTTTATAAATAACACGGATTAAACCGTCACGTTATGCTTTTTTGCAGCTGAACATTTGGCAATAACTTTGGAATCATTCTACGAGGTTATGATACATTTTAGAAACACTCCTATGTACATTTTCGGTGAAGGACATGGGGCTCAGCTAGCTCTGGCACTTGTGCAAAAACTTCACCAGGTAAGTTGTTTTGCGAATGCAATTTTAAAACGACTTTGACCATGTTGATATACATAGAGATAAATATATATACATAACTAATGATTTATTGAGGTAATATGAGTTCATGGTGAGAGGTGCAGGAAAACCTGACTACATTTTAATTCTTCCTGGTCTTAATAGTTACCTACGCAAGTGAACTGCACAATAAAATGGTTTCCAATATTTGCCTACCTACCTATGTTACAGAACAATGCAGCCTCTTTGGTTCAAGGTGTAATTTTAGGAAATGGTTTAATTGCTCCAGCGGAAACCGCAACGAAACTTGGTTTCTATCTTGAAGAACTTGCCTATATAGATGGCAGTGGTCGCCGAGCGATCGATAGTTTAACCAGTATGATAGCTAAAGCGGAAAAAGTCGGAAGACCTGATTTTGCTTTTGAGCTATTTCAAACTTTAGGCAACGCTGTCAACAAAGAAGGTGGTGCCGTGGCTGTCAATCTTGGACACATTGTCCAAAAATTACCTAAAGAATCTCTTAATGGTCCTCAAGGTAGGTATAATTCTAGTATAATTTAACTATTGTTCTTTTTAAAGTAAATACTTTTTTGTGAGATGATAACCATCCAATGAGTTCTCTGGCCCAGAGTGAGGCGAGAGAAAAAACACCCGTTTTTTTCTTGATTTAGACAGAGGCCGCGGTACCTTATACGCCCGGAAACCCCGTCCAAAAAAATATTAACAACTTGGATGTGTAAAATTATACAAGGTTTCAATCAAGCCGACGCACGTCTGATTCTTGTAGGCTAAAAACCACACCGAAGAAGTTAGGTTTCTCAGTGTGTTCTGTGTATAATATTTAATTTTCTTAAATGTATAGGTAGTCCGCTTTGAAATGATCCATTTTCTACGTACCTTACTAGTAACATAACGTTCTTTCTTTATTATTTTCAGATTACTTCGGCCAGTGGGAATACTTACAGAGTATTAACCCCGATCTTAATACTAATACTATGAATTTAGCAATTCGTCCACTATTGGGGATACCTTTTACTGATTTTTACGATGTACATCGACAGCATGTTATAAATGCTTTCAAAGACACTTTAATGATACCGGCAGTTGATCGAGGTAAGTAAATTGTATTTTTTTATTAATTAGGTCGAACCTAGCAAGTACCAATGTGACTTTAGCCGAGTTACATGTAACTACTTTCTATGATTATTTAGACACCACTGACAAACGGTGAAGTTAAACATCGCGAGGAAACCTGGACTTATAATTTCTAATTATAAGCTTGAAATCGCCAACCCGTATTGAAGAAGCATGGTGATTAATGCACAAGCCTTCTCCGTTCGAGAAGAAGCCTTTGCTCAGCACTTATATTGATGATTTATTGTACAAAAATTTAAGAAGTCTCTTACTCCGGGTGTCTGAATAGTAGGTAATTCTAAACATAGATACTTCAATCACCAATCGTTTTACATCCTTTAAGATACAGAGGAATAAATTAGGGTTTTTTTAAACTGAACCAAGTTTATTCTTAGCAGTCCCGTGAGATTCTTTTTACATTTATTGGCCTTTTTTAATATATATTATTATGTTTTCAGTTGAATACATTCTTCAAAATACGAGCATTCCCGTCACTATTTATAATGGTAATTTGGACGCGGTATCCAATACTCCAGGTAATAATTTAATTTAAATATTATACTAACTTCTCTTCAAACATCTTAATGTCTTTGTCATTTATCTATCCATATCCTAAGTATTTACCCATTCTCAATCTACAAAACCCCAGTCGTTTAATCCCCAATAGCCCACAAGAGGGCGGCAACACTCTTGGTAAGTAAGCATCTGCTTTGGTATTACGAGAGAGGGCTTACCATCAGGTAATCCGGCTGCCTGTTTACCGACCTATTCCTAAAACCTAGCACATTAATGTATACCTACTAATGTGTTTATTTATACCTACTCAATGACTTTTGGTGTTGATTAATGTATTTCCATGATATTTTAAGGACAATTAGAATGGGTGAATAACCTCCGATGGCCTGGACAGGAAGAATTTTTGGAAAGTCCGAGGACTCCTTTATTTGTTAATGGATTACTTGAAGGCTATTATAGAAACACGACGAGACTTCAGTTCTATTGGGTGAACGTAGCTGGACAATCGGTACTTACTAAGATTTTTCCATATTTCCATTTCATAAAGTTGGGAAGGATTGGGCCTCCGGTAACCTCACTCACATGGCGAAACACAACGGTGTGGTTGTTTCACGTCGGTATTCTGTGAGGCCGTGGTATCACTCCGGTCGAGCCGACCCATTCGTGCCGAAGCATGGTAGATAACGTATTTTCCAAAGTTGTATTATCTTGATGTGGAAAAAGTTATAAGTATCTAACTGATGATCATTATTTATTTGTGGGCGTAAAAGTTTTTATTTGAGGACTAGCAGGAGATGAAACATGGTCAACGAAATGATTTGTGTAGATAGATATCTACTTAGTTACAATAATACGTCGGACATCTTTTTTTTTTGACAGGAGAAAATTATTCCTATTATTTCCCTGAGACTTAAAACCGCCCCGTTCTTTTTCCTTGTTATGGTGAGGCGGCTAACTACCCTTGCTTGACGTCCCCCGCTTTCGGTGGCACGTTGCATTACGATCAATTTGAATAAATATGTGATATCTTCTTAGGTACCTAGTAGTAGGTACCTACACACACCTACGTGTTGGTGATAGATAAAATTGTGCGTTGCTGCATATTAACCATGTTTTGCCTTTACAGACACCGCTGGATAATCCTGTTGCAATGGACGCAATTCTACACGGAATCATAAAAGATTAGTTCAACCAACTCTTCACCCCCTTACCTATTTTGTAATAAATAATAATTAATTTCTTAGTATTCGTGTAACAGATAAAAAAGATTCAAGTGAAATTGTGAATGAAATTACTATAAGAATCTGAGAATAAGTTAACTGAAGGATGTACCTATTGTTATATTTTGAACACGAAATAATTAAATCTAAGCTCCCCAATTAAACCTTTTTAATAATAAATGTTCAACTGTTTGTTATTATTTCCTCCAATTTATCGCTGTGTGATCTTACGATCATCTTAAACTTTATGACATTATGGGTACGGCCAACTACCCAAGACAATGAATTTGCCTTGATGTCCAAAATACCTAATTGCCATGCTTGGGTATCGATTAAAATGTCAATCGCATCCACCTACAGGGTGATGAAAGAAGAAAATTAAAATCCGTGCCTATAAAGCCTAGGTACATTATAATGTGTATAGTATGCAGAGTATGTTTGTATCTATAGTTCAGTGTATTATATTATATTATATATATATTTTTGGTACCTATAATAAGTAGAACTTGCTTGCTTCTTGTACCTGCCACTAGAGAGTCTCTGCATCATCCAAAGCTAGACTGGTAGAGAATGCTTATTGCATTAAGTCCGCCTTTGTACAGTTAGGTATTTATTTATTTAATACTTCATGTGATTAGGTAGGAAGGCTTCTCAACTAATTAAGTAAGTATATGACGCGTAAGCAAAGCCATATCAGAGCAAAGAGGGCATGTAGGTTCCAAATAATGAATGTATTTATTATGTTTATGAAAATATTATAAATGAATGAATTCAACGTAGGAAATTTTATTTATTTTATTTTATTTTACAAGGCAATTACAACAATAACAATCGACATGATACAATTGTAAGGTTCCTAGTATTCATTGCGTTATACAGTACAAAAATCAACTATTGCAATAATCGATTTTTGTATCGATCTTTTGAAACAATGAAAATGAGCGGGAACGGGGAGTGAGGGGATGCTTGTCTGTGGAACCGAGCCGATAGGGCGGGACGGGAAGAGTACCTAAGACTGAATAAGGGGAATAGTCTTGTAACCTGAACATTAAAGGATTATTTTATATTGTATACGACGAGTTTTATTATACAATGTTTTATATAGTATAACATTTTGCACAGACTGCTACCCAAGCGTAATCACACAGCATGGTAATCAAAATTATTCCAATAAAAACAAAAGTGCAGTCTCTATAGTATTACATTGAATAAGTGCTAAAATGTTCAATGTCAAACCAAATGTTCGATTTTGGGCTAGGAATAATTATGTACACAACTTATGTAGATAAAAAGGAAAAAAAAATAGTAGATTCTCCCAAAGCACAATTAATTATTATTTGCCCCTAAACATCAGTATCATTCGTTCATTGCTCTATTTTATATCTATGACATATTATAACAAACTTTATGGCCTTTTTTATTCTGTGAGTTGATATGACGTACCTACCTATTATGCTTTGATTTTCTATGGCTGTCAAAATAAATATTGATATTCAGTCAGTGCATATTTTGTGTTTTGAGAGAGAAATACGGAACTCAATATAACTAAATACCTTGTTATATTAAGTATTAAGGACTTGCAGACGGTTTTGCAGACCAAACTAAATTTAGTTAACTGTGAATAAATTCCAAAAATCCACTTCATTGTAAACACTACAAAACAATGGCTGATATTCTTGATATATTAGAATTAGAGCAACCAGCTAATGAAATCAGTAGGGACAGTATAATACATGGAGATAAAGTGAAGAAGAAGTATGTGACCGCTAAAGCTGTAAAGCGGCCTGAGGGCATGCACCGAGAAGTATTTGCTTTGCTGTACAATGACAACAAAGATTTGCCTCCACTGCTGCCCACCGATACAGGTAATTGCACATTACACTGTAGAATCCACATAAATTTATCAAATTCAATCTATGCTTAAGTCTAAAAACTTGACACAAAACTTTCTTGCAATATAGCTTGCTGATAACCTTTTAATACTGTCCTTTTTCATCAGGAAAAGCATATAAACAAACGAAAGCTAAGCTTGGTATGAGAAAGGTGAGGAAATGGGTGTGGGCTCCATTCACAAATCCTGCAAGAACAGATAATGCTGTCTTTCACCATTGGAAACGAGCATCAGATGAAGCCAAAGAGTATCCCTTTGCACAGTTCAATAAGGTAAATTTAATTAAACATATTTGGTTTTAAAAAACATTATTCTTCTTTGTTTTGTTTACATTTATCTATCAATCAAAATTTTTATATTTTTTAAACATAACAAATGCTTAATATAATTTTGTAAAGTGTAAATAAGTAGACGCATAGATGCTTTTGTTGTGTTGTTTCATTGAATTCTTAAAGATTTTATATTAAGATTTGCTCACCTATATTTAGATAGCAAGTTATAAATTAACTACACCAAAAGTTAAATTAGCATAACATTTTTTCAATTTTCTGTTTAGCAAGTGTCAATACCATCTTATTCTGAGTCCGAGTACAATCAGTATTTGAAGTCTGAGGATTGGAGTCAAGCTGAGACTGACCACTTGATGGACTTGTGCCAAAGATTTGACCTGCGGTTTATTGTCATACATGATCGTTGGGACAGAGCTGCGTTCAGAGATCGAACCGTGGAGGACTTGAAAGAGAGATACTACGGAATATGTGCTACATTGAGCAAGGTATGTTGGTTACATATCTTTTATATTAATATATGTGTACTCAAATCATTCAGTGCTACTCTTGATTTCATAAAATAAGTTTTTATTTCGGTGAAATTAATATGAAGTTCTCAACCACTCTACATTCGAACTATGTTCTCATCCTTGAACCTTTCTCAAAAACTATTAATAAAAAGTTCATTTTCCAAATTGTAACAGAACAAATCTTATTGTTACTTCTCTTTTACAGGTAAAAACAAATCCTTGGTCCAATACTGTAACAATGGTAAATGGTGAGAAACGGATATACCATTATGATGCAGAACACGAGAGAAAGAGGAAGGAACAGCTCAGGAGATTATTTGACAGAACACAAGAACAGGTAAATAAGTTTTGATATAAACACAATATAATGATGCATCTTTATCAGTTTGTTCCATTCATAAGGTTCTAAATGTATGGTTGGAGATGAATCATTGTTTAGCTCAATTTCTTATAGGCTATGGCAACTTTAAATAGAAATTATTAAATAAATAAAGGCTAATAATTTTTATTTGTTATCTATGGCATGGGGTCAATTTTCGACAGCAGATGAGAATTTGAATTGATTGTAATAAGGAGCTGTCCACCCATAAAATACTAGTGAGTTTGATCTCTTGTAATACAAATGTAATACTACATTTTTCACCAAGATCTGATGATTCTATAGACATTGAAGAATGCAGAAAACATTTCCATATATTTAGATATTATTGTCTTACCTATTACTAAAAACAAGTACCTATAACAGCTCACACATGTGTTTGGTGACTGGGCTTCTCCCAGTTGTGCAGTCTCTTTTGTACCTTCTTCTTTCTTTTCATTTGAATTTGGTAAATTCACCCAAGGGAGTGGAAACTATTTCTTAATTTTTCTCCTCATATAAAATCTTCTTATTTATTTATCATATAAAATCTTCTTAGATATTCATGCCCTTGGACACTCTAGACTTCAGTGTTTCAGTTTATATCCTGACTCACAGGTATCCATAAGGTCTGATTGGCCTATAAAAAAAATTATAGTCAAGACTGGTCTGTCCAGTTAGTCTGTTTGTGACTTTTGGCTGAGAACTAAAAGCAAAATCTCTGAGTTGAATTCAACACCAATACTTTGCTATCACACTAATGATTACTTGACCAACAATAAATATCCCTTCAGCCACATTATATACTGCAGAACATAGGCATATCCAAATGAGAATCAACTATTAACTATGATTTGCTATTTTCTTTCAGATTGACGAGGAACAAATGCTTCTAGCAGAACTCAAGAAAATTGAAGCCCGTAAACGGGAGAGGGAACGTAAGACCCAGGATCTACAGAAACTCATATCCAGAGCAGACAGTGGAAACCTGCCACCGATTAGTCAAGTGACCAATAACAACGAAGGAGCTAGCACTCCATCGAATAATGCCTCAAGTATGGCTCGGCGCCATGACAGGAAGTTACATAAGAAGAAACTGACTGCTCAACAACGACCTGTGAGGGCTGTGGAAACTGTTGTAAGTTTTGTCATATTTTTTTACAAATCTTCATATGTTTGAATAAGTCGTAATGAAATTAATCTTAACCTTTTGACCGCCATGGTCGGTTATAGTATACCCGAAAGATAACTTAAAAATTAAGTAAATTTGGTGTGTCGGCTATACCTGTGCAGTGCGCAATGTGTCGCGGATTCGAGTCCCGCAACAACACTTTGTGTGATCCACAAATTGTTGTTCCGGGTCTGGGTGTGAAGTGTTAAACGCACCGTTTTCTTAAAACAAAAAAAAACCACCACCATGGTGGTCAACCAATTTTTTATGTCATTTTTATTATGGATATCCTTATGAACTCCCTTCGCTGTGGGAACAACGGATTGATAAGGTGGGGGTATGTGTAAATAAGTTGTTATATTATGTGCTCTGATTTTAAATTACATAAATATTAGTTTTAACTTATATTTTTTTTGGGAATTTTATTTAAATAAAGTCAGTGACTCTGTTTTAATTATATACTGTGTGGGAAACTATTTCCCTATGGTATAAACGAAGAATCATCACATAAACTAGCCGGTGACTTGTCACTTTCCAAAACTGTCAATATCTACAAGTGGTGCTAGCAGTTACATAAAAGGAGTATAAAGGTACAGGAATCAGGATGAATGCAATTGATGACCTTGCAGAGACTCATCGGTTGGCCATTGATTCATTAAAACAGCGTATGGCAGACTTTGAGGCACACTTGAAAGCTTCTTCACCTGGAGAAGACTTGAGCGGCTTGAGGAGAGATTATAGTGTCTTCAAGGAACATGTGTGGAGTGT